TGGGTAAATCATCAGAATCAGTAGTAATGGGTAAGTCATCAGAAGTATTAACATCATGATCAGAAGTATTAACATCATGATCAGAAATATGAGATTCAGGACTTACCAGTGGTTCAAACGATTGAGGTTGCTGCTGAGACAATGTGGGCTGTTTCCTTCTTTCAGGTGTCATAATCTTTCGTATCTCTGGTGTACTTGATGTATCAATCACAGAAGAATCAGTCACAGGAGGATTACTCACAAGAGGATCAGACACAGGAGGAACAGGACCAGTGGAGGATACACTGACATAGGTAAAGGAGTAGACACTGATGATTCAAACTCAAAGAAGGGAGGTGATGGGATTTCTGGTGAAGGATTCTCCCCCTGAAGATGAGGACCTTGGAAAAAGGACTCAGATTCCTGAAATGTAACATCCATAGAAACAAAAAATTTCCTACTACTAGGGTGATAGCACTTGTAGCCCTTCTTATCAGGAACATAACCAAGAAAAACACATTTAATAGCCCTAGGGTCCAACTTACTGCGATGATGTTTATGAACATGAACAAAAGCAACACACCCAAACACTCGTGGAGGGAGACTCATCATAGTTGGAATAGAAGGGAAAAAAGAAGTCATAGAGTGAATAGGACTTACATGGTCAAGTACCCGAGTGGGTAAACGGTTAATCAAGAATGCTGCAATAAGAATAGCATCTCCCCAATAGTATTTGGGTACATGTGTCTGAAACATTAATGCACGAGCCACTTCAAGAAGGTGACGATTTTTTCTTTCAGCAACCCCATTCTGTTGGTGGGTGTCAACACAAGTAAGTTCATGAATTATACCATTATTTCTTATAAATTGGGAAAAGCTATGATTAACATATTCAGTACCATTATCTGTTCTTAGTCTCTTGAGTTTTTTACCAAACTAGGTCTCAATCATTTTATAAAATTGAAAGAACAGTTGTGGTACCTCAGACTTTTCACGCATTAAGTACACCCAAGTTACACGAGTGCAATCATCAATAAAAGAAACAAACCATCTATTTCCAGAACCATGAGGGACTTTAGAGGGACCCCAAACATCAGAATGAATAAGATCAAAAGGTTCAACACTCTTAGTAATACTAGAAGGAAAAGACACACGGTGATGCTTAGCAAATTCACAAACATCACAATGAAAAGACTCAACAGATTTAGACAAAAACAATGACGGAAATAAAGATTTGAGTAAACTAAATGGAGGATGACCTAAGCGCTTATGATGAAGCCAAATCAAAGAATCAGCAGTTGATTGACCATGAGACATCAAGATGTGATTTGTTACTTTATTTGCAGGAGATTGTGACACCAGATAGTACAGCCCACCTTGCTCTTTAGTACTACCAATCGTCTTCCCCGTGGCGAGATCCTGAAAAACACAATGGGTAGGATAGAAGGTTACAGTACAATTCAAATCTTTTGTAATTTTATGAATAGAAAGAAGATTCGTGGAGAGTTTAGGAACATGAAGAACATCCTTAAGATGTAAGGACTGCTGTAAGTTTATGTCACCAGATCCCGCAACTGATGTATGAGAGCCATCAGCTACGGCTATTGTATGAGTTCCAATGGTAGGATGATAAGAGGTAAAGGAGTCAGCACAACAAGCCATATGATCAGTAGCACCAGAATCAACAACCCAAGAATGTTTAAAATCATTACATGAAGAAAGGAAAGAATAAGTTTTGGAGCTCATACCAGTCATAGTCAAAGCACTAGTATCAGATGGCTTACTCATAGAATCAAGAATGGTTCGGAGCCGTTCCAACTCATCTGGACGAAATGCAGGTTGGGTCTTATTAGGTGTAGGAGTTATTTCAGAGGAAGTAAAATGCGCTTGACCACGCAACTTTGCCATCTTTTCTAAGACAGATTGCTTTCCATAAAGGCGAAAGCATAAATCCTTGATATGACCTGTTCTTTTACAATAAGAACACCATCGATCATCTCTCTTAGGTCTAGAAGAGGTACCATCATAAAATTTTGAAAAAGAACTCCTTTGAGAAGAGGCCATACTGCACAGAAAATGGTCAAAGAAAAGCTCCAAGAAGCCAAAAAATCACAAATAAATACCAAACGATGTCCGATCAAAGAGAGGAGCACAGATCCAGAAAGAGGATGAAGGGAAGATCAAGATCGCGGTGGTCCGATCCGGAAAAATGATCTCACGCGCCGCCACGCGCCAGTGAGATTGGCTGCACGTGGGCTTCACTCGCGGTTGAAGGAGCGGCGCGTGTGGGCGCGTGCGGTGGCCGTCCGGTCTGAAATTTCTGGAGCAACGTCGTCCGGTGAGCGCGGTTCTTTCTGGGTCTGTTCGGAGTTGAAGAACCACCGGGAAAGGGTCCAATTGTGATGAACATATGCTGTCTTGTGATGAAGAATAATGGAGACGACGAACAGTAACAGAGATCCAGTATAACAGAGATCTTCTCGGTCCAAGAGGTCCCCGGGAAAAAATCCGGTGGCGGCTGATGGCAGCGAGAGACAAAAAGAATAAAAGGTTCTTGTTCTAAAGACAATAGGCGCGGAAGCAGAGCCCTCAGGATCGAGAGCTCTGATACCAACTTGAAATAAAAGGGTATTTGAAATATTATTGAATCGTATTTGAATCTGTACATAGGGGTCTCTATTTATAGAGACTTCTTGACCTAATTTTGACCTAATGGGCTTGGCCCAATATACAAGAAACGGACTAAATAAATACAAATAAATGACTACATAATTACTAATAAATGACTACATAATTACTATTTAATACAAATAAATGACTACATAATTACTAATAAATGACTACATAATTACTATTTACAACAGTGTCCATAGTAGCAATGATAGAGATCAAGCACTAGTGGAGCTTCCTATGGTGCATAAAGGGAGGGTGTGTGTGGAAGTGGCTAAGGTGGTAATAACATAGTCACAGCCGTAGAGGCTGAGTGGAGAAGAAGAGATCCTCCATCAATGTGAGAGGGGGGTATTTAGAGCAAGAGCCCTAGCCTACCTAGCCAGCCTAGCCTGAAGGCTAGGCATGCTGAACCCCTGCCCTTGTGCAGGGGCAGCTGGTGTGTATGGGGAAGAGGGGGCATCCTATGATGCCTTCTAGAAGGTGGGCTTTGAGAGGTTGGGCCCATCTGGTGGGCCTCATGTAAGTTGTATCCAGAACAAATTCAAAAATAAACTCCAATTGGGGCATCATGGTCATTTGCTTTGCCTTTATTTAAATCTTGTATCTTAGGTCAATCACCACGCCATGTAGCCGTGGGATGCTCATTGGACTCATCGGACGGTGGTTGATCGTCCTTGATAACCCATTAATTGAGGAAAGCACAAAGCAGAGGCTCTCTCAAGGTTTGTATGGAATGGTCAACTATTTGGTTGCACTACAACGTTGAACACATTATTGTTCTTGATGTCAAACCAAACGTTTCTTTGTTTAATAAAACTCTGTTGGGCCTCACTTGATAACAGCCCAGACTCTCTGGCTAGTTGCTAGTCATATTAGATAATAGATACCATACCACCCTCCTATCTCTCAATAATTAGTGCCTTCTTTAATTAAATATAAATAATAATCGTGTGCGCATGAAAATCATATTAATTATTGGCATACATTAGAAATGTAAAAAATATTAGCATATAATAAATTCTTATCAACTCCCCAAATCAAATCAAATCGAATCATATGTGTATTTCTTTCTCTGATTTTGATTTGCACATTTTGAAACTGGCAAGAAAAACTATTTCTACTTTATTCCCGTCTACGTTGAATTGGAGTGACAAAAAGACTCGAACGTTTTTTATTTGGTAGACACCATGATAATGTTTTCTCTTCCTCGGTGTTGTGGCTGACCGAATTAGGCATTGACCTAACAAAAGGAATCAAGTTCAGCAATCTTTATTACTACGTTTCATCTTTATTTAAAATATATGCATTGCTTTTTTCATCGTATTGGGAATCCACGCTAAAATTCAAAATTAAAGTTCCATAAGTTGCTATTTGCTTTTAACGCGTTGCTATCACCATAGATAGATGGTCAACCATAAACAAAAGGACAAAATGAAAAAAAGTGAAGGGAGAAACTTCCGAGGAGATCACTACAATTTTATAATTATTATTAGTGGAATGCACTGTATGGCACACATACGGTGCTAATAGCAAAGTTTATTGAAGTCAACAAGAAATATCCTCTTCATTTTTTATTTTTTTGGGGTAAAAAATAACCTCTTCACATGTGAAGGAACAATCTTGTTTTTCAAAAACTTGAAAAGCCAAATTCAGGAAATAATATATCCTAATTTGATTTATTGCGGTGCTCTAATAAGCAGGATACCAAAGTCAAAACACTCATCACGAATTTCATACTAATAAAAATGCAGTGGTTGTTAATAAATATCTAAGTTGTTTTCAACTTAGAAAATGAATGCATGCGTTTGAAAATGACAATATTCTAAACCAATCAAACATAAATACAGGAACTATCGGTCACAAACTAAAGTTAATAAATGTAATTTATGCATTTCCATTTTAAAAAGGTCATTATTAATATATTTAAATAAACAAAGAAGAGAAAGGGAGTCAAGCGACGAGGAATGCGAGTTGATCGGTTAAGAAAACTAGTACAGTACGTGCAACTGCGTTGACCATATTGGTTGCTTGGGATGGGGAAAAACTGAGAGATAATGAAACGCGTCGCGTTATTTAAAACAATAGAGATTACAAAGTCGTGTATATTAATAAAGGGAAGAGAAATAAATAAATTAAAAGAAGAAGGAAGATATGAGTTGGTGCATCCTTGGCTTGGCGGTGAAGGGTTTTTAATTTTTAATTTTGGTAAACAATTATTTTTCATGGTTTGGCTGCCACTTTCTTTAGGGTTTGGATGCGAGAAGTGGTAGGACCTACCACCAACTCCTTTACAGTAAGTAAACATAGTTTTTTTTTTTTTTTGTTTTTTTTTTTTGTCGTGGCGCACCTTGCCCATTATTTCAATTTGCATGAAAAAATAAAAGTCCAACGAATCTCGACCCTTGGATTACGAAACTTGTTTGACTTTCTCATCCATCCTTCTCTTTTATAACGTGCTCTTGTTGCTCTTCTCTCTCCCTCAAACCAAAACCTCTTGTGTTTTCAAATTCACGATTTCCTTGCGTTGAATGACAGTAGATCTGGTAGGGTTTTCCAAGATCAGGATGGAAGAAGAGATAGCCATACAAGAAGCTGCTTCCGCTGGGTTGAAGAGCATGGAGCATTTAATTCGCGTTCTTTCTTCTCAAGCCCCTTCTTCTTCTTCCTCTTCTTATTCCTCTGTTTCGTCCACACAGAGTAAACTCCACCACCACAACCATCTCCTCAATCTCAATCACCTTGACTGCTCAGAAATCACAGACTTCACCGTCTCTAAGTTCAAGCAGGTTATTAATTTGTTGAATCGCACCGGCCACGCTCGATTTCGTCGCGCACCTTCTCATCCTTCTCCCTCTGTTTCTGTTCCTTGTAAATCTGAAAAATTCAACCCTGTTATTCAAAACCAACCCCAGTCAGTGACTCTTGACTTTGCCAAGCCCGTATTGGTCAAATCCAATCCCAACCCATCTACCGATTTAGCAGTTTCTCAACACTCCAAGTCCAAGGACACCTATAGCATATCCCCTCCCATCTCCACCACCACCTCCTCCTTCATGTCCTCCATCACCGGTGACGGCAGCGTTTCCGACGGCAAGATAGGCCCCTCCATCCTCGCCGCCGCACCTGCCGTTTCCGTCGGCAAGCCTCCCCTGTCCTCATCTCACCGGAAAAGGTGTCACGATGCTACCTTCTCCGCCGGCGCATCCGGAAAAGTCTCATCCTCGGGCCAGTGCCACTGCTCCAAGAGAAGGTAAACTCAGACTCATCTTTTTCTTCAATAACGTAACAATTATCAACAAATGGAAAGAAAAAATAAATTGAAAATTGATAAAATTGTGTTTTTATTTTATTTTTATTTTTAAAATAGGAAATCCCGTGTGAAACGAACGATCCGAGTGCCGGCGATAAGCTCGAAGATTGCCGATATACCAGCAGACGAGTACTCATGGAGAAAGTACGGTCAAAAACCCATCAAGGGATCACCTTACCCACGGTATTATTCTACTCCTCCCTTTTGTTCCTCATTCATCAAAGTCAAAATATGATATTTGTTTCCGCAAGTGTTAAATATTTCAAGAAAATTAATTAATTGGCAGTCTCTTATATTATATTAATTCTTCTTATATATTAACATGACTGGATTCAAGGGAAGTAATAATAATAACAATAATAATAATAATAATTTTTGGCATTGGCAGTGGGTATTACAAGTGCAGCAGCGTGAGAGGATGTCCAGCGAGGAAGCACGTGGAGCGAGCCCAAGATGATCCTAATATGCTCATCGTCACTTACGAGGGAGAGCACCGTCACTCGCAGGCCCAAACCACGGGAGCCGCCGCCGGTTTTAACTCTCACCCGATTTAAGCGACGGCGGCGATCGGTTTGTAATTGACGGGATTGAAGTGGTAACCGTAGATCGTAACAGTAGCGGAAAAGAAGGCAGATTCCAAGAGAGAAAAAGAAGGAAAGTCAACTTTTGCTTTCTGGATTGTGACTTTTGTGGACCTAAAGTAAAGAAAGAGTCGTCTACAAGTTGATAAGGATTTTCGTGTAAATTCGAGACAGAAAATTAATGAAATATACGAGTTTTTTTTTTTGTTTTTTTTTAGCTGAGCAAGGGCATGAAATTCGTTGGACTTTGGGCCACTTGTTATTATTGTAATGGTTAGTTTAATATTAAATGTTATATTGGTGGGAGATATAATCTAATTCAAGTTGAAAGAAAAGTATCGATTCCATAGCCACAGGGTGGGATAGGTTGGTTGAAAAGAAAAGGTGCGCATGAAACAAAAAGTCAAAGGCGCGGGTTGAAACTGAAGGTGGAAATGGGAATCAATGTAACTTTATATAGGACCATGGAAATAATTTCCCATGGAATGGTGGTGCGAGTGGGACAGGTGGCACGGGTCCCGCGCCAGCTCATTTCAATATTCGCTGTGTTGCATTCCTATTTGCCTATGATAAAAGACATCTTTGAGACTTGAGAGTTGCGAATGAATCTTGACTCTTACGCTTTCGTAAATTTCAAGATCTTCTACTTTCTTTTTATTTTTTATTTTGCGAAAAAAAAAATTGATTGTCCTCCTTTATTAGTTTCAGAAATATTCACTTTGAAAAATTATTAATAGTATCATTTTATGAATTACGTGCCTTCACATTTAGGGAACATCATAAAATTATAATGTAGGTTGATAAATAAAATAAAATTTATATAAATATGAAATGACATATATGTATTTAAACATGATTTTTTATTAATAGTTTCCATAATAATAATGAATCCAAAGTGGTTCATTTCTGTTTTTGACTAAAATGACCAGTACTGGTCAAACAATACAATGAATGCAGACAACATTATTAACATGGTACTGCTCCGCTTCGAAGTTTGAAGTCTTCAACGCATTCACAATCACATTTGGGTCAAGTGGTTAGTTTTGTGGTCCCTTAAAGCAGGATGAACTTGCTTTGAATTTATTAGGGGAATCTGTGCCCGCCTAAATTCGAAGGCTATATACATACATTTTTATGACTCAAAATATTATATAGAAATGCTATTTTAAGATTCTCGAGAATAATTAAATTATTTATTCAGTTCCCAATGCATATTTTAGAAATATATGTTAGAATTTTATTTTTTTTTGGTAAATATATGTTAGAATTTTTAAAATGCTCCTGTTATATAAGATATTATTTAAATAGTATTTTCAATCTAACTAATAAAAAAGAAATAAAAAAATTAAATTGATTAGAATACCTATACTATAAAATGATTATTTTTACAGAGAAATATTTCTGCAGTTACTACAGATAAGTTATCTGCATTTATTTCTAAAACAACGTCGTTTTGGATTTAAATATAAAAATTATAATTATAAAGACTATAATAATCCTGAAATAAATTAAAATTATAAAAACACCATAATTTTCGTCCCAAAACGACGTCGTATTGAACTTACTGCAGATAACTTATTTACAGCTGCAGTAACTACTGCAGAAAAAGCGAACCCTTATTTTTATAACCTTATTGATACAAATTATTACATTTTATAATAATTATCATATTCAAATCATATAACTACACATTAAATATTTGCTAAGACATTATCAAAACTCAACTTCATAAGCAATGTAATAAAGGATATATGACTTGGGACTTCTAATTAAAAGATGAAGTCTAAGTAAAAAGAAAAAATGACAACTAAGCTTTAGAACTTACGCAAAACATAAAGTCTAAAACCGGAGCGAGCAGTAATAACTTTGGAATGAGGGATTAAGAATTGATGAAGGAATATTTTTATACTTTTATACAATATATAATAAAATTGATGGTGCCATGCATGTCATGGAAAATATAAGATATCCACCCTCTCTCGTGAGAATGGAAGTGGAGCAAAACATTGGCATTTCACTTTCCTTTGGAAAAATTAGTTCTTAATTAATTTGGAATTAAATGTCTTCTGATTCTCAAGAATAACTAAACAACGCTTAAACAAATTTGCATATGACATATAAAGGTGCAAATAAGCCAGACGACTTATAAAGAGCCTATAACTTGGTCTACCTTAGGCTTGACCTGACCTGCTCTATTTTATAAATATAGCAAGTTTCGTCTTTTAAAAAAGTCCATTTAAAATTAGGCCATAGACTTACTTTAAAAAGACTGGCTTAAAAGTCTGCAAGCTAGCCTTTTGATTTTTGTAATAATATAATATATTTATGAAAGATATTGTTCACTCAAAGACATATTCTGAGATCATGATTTGTAACACTAATTTTCAAAATAATAAGATTAATGTTATTTTAACAAATCATAAATATTTATTTAAAATTTAAAATATAATATCAAATTAAATTAGTAAAGAAAGTGAAAATTTTATATATATATATATACGTGTGTGTGTGTGTGTGTGTCAAATTTTCATGTGATCTTTGTGATCATTGTTTTATGTGTTGTTAATGAAAATATTATTTCATGTGATCTTTGTGAATAACAAATTTTATATTTTATATTTAAGTTTAGTTTGGGCCTGTAAACTTTAGTTTGCAACTTGGTAGACCTTTAAGGTTATGATAGGCTAATAGGCCAGTATAAGCTCTAAATATTTTATATAGGCTAAGGCTATCAAAGCCAAAGCCTAACTTAATCTGGCCCATTTACCCCCCTAATAGCATATATTCACTCATAATTTCAATGGTAAGCTTTGCTCATGAATTTAACTAATATTTTTACGTGGAAATTAGACTAGGGATTTAAGATAAGATTACAACAAGGATTTAATTTTCATACATGGTAAAAAATTTCTTTACACGATATATCTAATTTTGTGTTGTTGAAATGAGATGGATTATAATAAGTTTTTTTAAGTGTTATTGGAATGAGACTTCTCTTACTCAATATAAATGAATACATATTATCTCAAGTGTGGTGGTTCAATTAGTAGCATGAGGACTGAGTGGTGAGAAAGGACCTCGGTTCGAATCCCACCAACACCATCTGGGGAGGGGCATAAGTACCGTAATTCTTGGACTCGCACCTGAACTCTGGATTAGTCTCATAGGCGGCTCAAAGAGTCGAACCCGTAAGAATACCGGGAGTTCTGATTCGCCTCAAAGAGGTAATTAGGATCAGTTTCTAAAAAAAAAAATTATAGAATTGAAAATTCAGTTAATGTGGAAATAATAGTCCACATGTTACACTGCATAAAGGTTCCACTCGTACATGTAAATACCTTAAGAGGTTGGAGGACGATGCAGCTTAAAGCATATGTTAGTGAGTGGACAATTGTATGGTTGGTTTCCATGTAGGATAGCTTGTTTGGTTACTATTCACGTGGACAATTTATTAGTTAGTTAGTATGTTAGAGCATGGGTAGAGGAATGTACATACTTAAAGACCTCTGTGTAACTGAGTTTCATCATCTGAATAATAAGAAAAACCCATATTTTTTTTTTGTCCGTCTTCTACTCCCACTTTTAGGGATCCATCCCTAACACCACATAACCTATATGTTATGCACATTCAATTCTTTTGATTTTTTTTTGGGAGAACTTGTTGCCCTTACAATTCTTGTTTGGGTTGAAGAATGGACGTAGGGTTAGGAGTATCAATGCAAATACAGCTCCACTTACTTTGATGATTACTTGGCTATTTTTTGTTTTTTCTGTTGTTTTTACTTTATTGTTAAAAAAATCAATTTTTTTGTTTTTCATTTTTTTTAAATTTCAAATTTCGAATTTTGCATGCCGTGTCGACCCGTGACATGCAGCGGGTCGTGTCAGGGTTCGAGTTTTTTGACCCGTTAACAATATATGTCGTGTACGGGTCTTGTCGTTTCGTGTACATGTCGAACGCATGTCGTGTCGTGTCGTGTCGGGTTGACTCGTATTGCTACCTCTACCTCTAGGTGCAGTTACATCTGAAGCTGCGTGATTAGTCTACAGGCATGCCTGATGTCATGATTGGAGATGACATATTGTTTCATAAAATGAGGTATTTGTTGAGTACAACTTCGCCTCTCATTCTTAACTTAATCACTAAGGCTCATTGTTCTTTGAGTGGTGGCCATGCTAGAGTTTTAAGGGCATACCTACACTTATTTTCCAAATTTTATTGGAGTTCTATGCGTAGGACTGTTCAAGACTTCGTCAGTAAATGTTTAACGTGCCAACAGGTTAAGTATGAGGCTTCGAAGTCAACTGGGTTATTGCAGCCATTGCCCACACCAGATGGTATCTTTGAAGACCTTTCCATGAACTTCATTGTTGGTCTACCGCTTTTAAAAGGATACATCACGATAGTTGTTATCATTGATAGGTTATCTAAGTATGCCTACTTTGGCCATTTATCATCTTCTTATACTACTGTTTCGGTGGCCAACTTGTTTTGTGAGTTGGTAATCAGGAACCATGGTTTTCCTCGCTCTATACTCACTAACAGGGATCTTATTTTTGTTAGCAAATTTTGGTCCCAACTTTTTAAGTTGAGTGTAACAACATTGAGGACATCTTCTGCTTATCATTCTCAATCATATGGGCTTACGGAGGTTACCAATAACTATTGAGCAGTACTTGCGTTGTTTCTGTTATGAGCAACCAGAGAGATGGTCTGAGTGTTTGTGATGGGCATAATACCATTATAACTCTTCTAATGATGAATAAATATATTACTGGGTGACAGTAAAAAATACTGTCACTGAATAATTTAAACTATTTTAATAAATACTTTAGTAAAATTTATTTATTTTATGATCCTTGTTGTATGTGTGATATAGTGAATATTTAGTTGCTATTGCAATACTCAACCGATAACTGTGAATTTTAGTTGTAGTTATTTTTTTATTTATTTTCGGGCAAAGCCCATCGCCGGATCTCTTTTTTTTTTGGTGTGGATCGCCGGATCTCTTTATTCGGGTATTAGCTGTCAGTCTTTAGGCCTAGCTTTTAATATTCCTTGCACATGTTGGGCTATGGATTTGGGTAAGGGTGGTAAACAGAACACATTGGGCCAAAGGACTACAATCAGTTCCAGTTATATATTCTCAAAATTCGATGTGTAATGTTTTTTCCTTTCAATTATTATCAATCAAGAAAATAAAGGATAAG